GTTTGCAGGCGCTGACTGCTCAGCGTGGCCAGCACTGCACCCACGGTGCTCGCCACGGGCGCGGCGTGGCGCCCACTCGGCCGCCCTATAGTAGCAGGAGGGTTGGCATCTCTGCCCACCCTCCCGCGATCTCCATCCACGGCCGCAGCTATCGATCCGACTGCTGCTGTGCCACTCGCTCGCTCGCTCCCCCTCCCTCCTCCCTCCCTCCTCCCTCGATCCCTCCATCCCTTCTCCCCTTCTCTCCTCCTTCCCTCAATCCTCCCTCAATCCCTCCTCCCTCCTCCTCCTCCACTCGTCCTCCCTCCCTCCATCCATCCATCCCTCCCTCCCTCCCTCCTCCCTCCTCCTCCACTCGTCCTCCTCCCTCCCTCCCTCCCTCCCCCTTCCCTCCCCCCTCCCTCCTCCATCTCTCCCTCCGTCCCTCCCTCCCTCTTCCCCTTCCTCATCCTCATGCTCCTCTGAGCGCCTTCGGGCATTACCCGCTATCAGTGAGAAGGAAAGGAACAGAGAACCCTAGCATGGCCCCCCTGCGCAATGATGCCGCGCACGCACACACACACACACACATACACACACACACACACACACACACACACACACACACACACACACACACACACACGCTCAAGCCGAGGAGAGATATAAGTTTCAGTGCCATGCGGTGCTCAATGTCCTATTCCGTCTTCTGGCTCATACGTTCCCGTCCCCTGGCACATCTCGCCTTCACTGCTCATGTGGGCCGTCGTGAGGCTGTCTTGGGACCATGTGGGGCAGTATTGGGAACCCCTTGGGGCCTCTTCGGGCCGTCTCGGGGCTCTCTTGTGCCGCCTCGGGGCCCTCTTGGTTTTCCGGGGTGGCTCCTGGGGCCGTCGCGGTCGCTTTGGGGCAGCCTTGGTCCGTCGAGAGGCCCTCGAAACTCGAAAGTTAAGTCGGGCATGTCCCTGCATAGGCGGAATATTCAAAAAATGCTTCACACAAAAAAGTGGACGATTTGTCGACTATGTTTACTGTGTTCGAATATGTTTTGACTATTGATCGCTTTTCTTCCAAATCCGCATGTAGGAGGACATGCCCGACCTAACTCTAAAGCCGTCTTGCGTCCTTCTGGAAGCCCACTTGGGCCAGCTTGGGTCTCTTGTGGGGCCATCCTGGGCCGTCCGGGAGCCTTCATGGGCCGTGTTAAGCCGTCTGGGGGCCCTTTTGGATGCCGCAGGGGCCGTCTTGAGCCTATGGAGCCCGCAAGGGCGAAAACGCGAAAATCCTTCAAACCCCCGAGGGAAAACAATGATTTAGGCCTCCTCACTCCTGCTGGGGATCCGCTTGGAGCCCTCTTGAGCCGTCCTGGGGGCCCCTTTGGCCGTCTCGACGCCATCTTGGGCCGTCCTGGCGCTAACTTCGGCCGTCTTGGAGGCATATTGGGCCATCTTGGAGGCTTAGCTGGGCTGCCAGGGCCGCCTTGGAAGCCATCTTGGGCATCTTGGACGGCGCCCAGGGACCCTCGGAAGAGGGAGGCTGGCGATGCATGCGACGAAGTGCGAGTAGAGCGGGGGGGGGCCTTAGAAGATTACAGAAACCCTACCATGCAGCACTTGGCATTCTGCCACGCCTCACCATGCCAGGGGTGTGGCGAAAGCTACGAGGCGAAGCCCGTGTGGCGCAAGAGGCGCGGCGTTGCGCTGTGCAAGCCATGCGGTGCACGCTGCGTGGCGCAAGCTGCGCGGCACGAGCTGATGTGGTGCGAGCTGCGTGGTGCCACCCTGGCGATCCCCGAGGCGCCCACGGGGCGCCCACGAGGCGCCCCCGGCCCGCACGCCTGCCGAAAACCCTGGGACGCCCAGCCAGCGCCACGGGGCGCCCACGGAGCGCCCCACGGCCCGGACCCCCGGCCGAAGGCACCGTGAAGGCCTGCCGGAGTGCCCCGGAAGCGCTGGAGAGGAGCCCGGGAGCGTTGAGGGCGCCCACGAGGCACACCGGCCGAAGGCACCGGAGGCCTGCCAGAGTGCCCGGAAGCGCTGAAGAGGAGCCAGGAGCCAGAGTGCCCGAGGCAAGGAGGAGCCCTGAAGCGCAAGTAGTGCTGCTCGAGGAGCCCTCTGGTCTGTCATGCCCAGCAGCCACACCCGTGGAGGGTGGCACCTCTGTCGGAGTGCTGGCATCGCCAAGGGGCTTCCCCACCCCGGGCTGCACGATCACAGAGATCCAGATCCCCCGCGGCTGCACAGACCGAGGGTGGCCTCTGCTCAAAGAATGGCTCTTGCGCGGTGCTTTCCCAAATGGAGCGCTTGAAGTTCCTGACGACTGCTCGGATGGCGGGCGGCGTCTTTTCAAAGTCGTGTTCTCGCCCAGGTGCCGCGCACATTTGCTTCCCGACCTTGCGGAGGCTTGCCATCGCTCGGACGTCCATTCCCCTTGCATGTTTCGTTTGTGCGCGTGGTTTTTTGCTCGACGGTCCAGGATGCTCCTCGATTGTCCTCGCCGAGAAAAGCAAATCACACGTCCGAGCGATGCCAAGGCAGGGCTGCCGTTCAGTATCCCCCACACGCGGGCCCGCAGGGAGGCGGGTTAGCAGGGGGGGGGGCGGGGGGCACCGCCCCCTAAAGCGCCGCCCGGCCACGCGCCAGGGGCCGGCGGAACTCTCGCAGAGCCTCGGCAGGAGGCCAGCGGAACTCGGAGCGTCCCTAAGCTCGGCATCGCTCGGACGTGTGCATTTTTCTTTCGGCGAGGACCTTCGAGGAGCATCCTCGACCATTTGGCGAAACAACCACGCACGAAACCGAAAAAAACACAGGAAATGGACGTCCGAGCGATGGCGAGTAAGGCGATGCGACGGCCGAGAGCATGCCCCGAGGGAGCCCCAGGAGGCCCCGAGAAGCCCGCAGGAGGCCTCAGAAGGGTTCTCCAGCTTTCGTAATAAAAGGGAGGGGATCTGGACCCTCCAAGACGAGCCATTTCAGACCTCCCCCCGTGGGAGAACCCTCCAAAACATCGTCCCCAGACACCCCCAGGCCCTCCAAGATAGCCTGGAAAAGACCACCCCCCGAAATGAGACCCCCCTCCCTTTATTACGAAATCTGGAGTTCCCCGATGGCCTCAGGAGACGACGGTGACCCCAATGCGCTAACAAGATCACCCGAGGGAGCCCGATGAGCCCTCAAGGATGTCTGTACACAGTCCCCCAGCGAGCCCAAGGAAAGAGAATAAGCATGTCTGTGTGTGCTCACCATGCTTCGTCTTCGGCTGGTGTTCACATCGTGGAGCGTGGGGTGAACAGCCCCTGAAGGCCCTAAGAAATCCCAAACAAGAGGCCACGAGAGCGCCCCACAACGGCCCCAGGATGGCCCCGACAGACCCCAAGAGGCACCCAGAAGGCTCCCGAGGAGGGCCCCGAGACGCCCCAAGAGACTCCCAGGAGAAAGGCCCTCACGAGAGCTCCAAGAGCCCAAGACAGTCGACGAGGCGGGTAACATGTAGAAAAGGGGGACGAGGACGAAGGAATGAGGAGCAAGAAGGAGGAAAAGCAAGAAGGAGGAGCAAGGAGGATGATAGGGGAGGAGGAGGAGGAGGAGGAGGAGGAGGAGGAGGAGGAGAACGGAGGGGGACGAAGGAAGGAGGAGCAGGAAGAAGGAGAGGGAGGAGAAGGACGAGGGAAGAGGGAGCAGGAGGAGCAAGGAGAAGGAGGAGGAGGAGGAGGAGGAGGCAGGAGGAGGAGGGGAGGAGAAGGAGGAGGAGGAGGAGGAGGAGGAGGGAGGAGGAGGAGGAGCGAGCAGCAGCAGGAGGAGGAGGAGGAGGAGGAGGAGAGAGGTGGGACAGAGGACGGCAGGGCTGGACCTAAACGTGGTTTTGCTGGATTTCGGGCTTCGTCTTGTCTTTCTCTTTAGCGAAGGGGCCCAGGGGTACCGGCAGATCGAGCCGACAAACAGATCGGGAAACGCAACAAAAAAAACACCGTTTGGGTCCAGCCCTGGAGGGCGGAGGCGGGAGGAGGGAGGACCGACGACCTGGCGGCAGGCAGCGCCTCCGCCGGCGGAGGCGCGCATCCCGACCACCGCCCTCGAGACAGGACGCACTCCCGGGCCCTCGCAGGCCGACCCTGGTCGGAGGACGCGCAGTTGGGGGGGGGCGATAGGTGGTGGGGGGGGGGCCGCGAGGGCTGCAGAAAAAGGGGCCCTTTAGTGCCGTGCCCCTGCAGGGGCCCCAAAGGGGCCCCAGAGCGGCAACTTTCTCCCCCCCCATTGATCGCCCCCCCCCCCCCCTGAAGTCGCTCCCAACCTGGCGGTGAGCAGAGAGCGATGGGCCCCTGAGGGCCCCGAGCACCAAAAGATCAGGGGCCGCCTGACCGACCCCTAGCAGACCATCCCCTTCCGTGACGACCCCCTCGCCTCACGGAAGGTGCTCGTCACGGAAGGGGCCGGCGAGGCCGCGCCCGACGAGATGTGGGCGGCAGCCCCGCAGAGGGGGGCCGAGGTCCGAGGCCTTCCCCCGGGCTCCGCAGAGGTCCGACCCCTTCCCCGTCTCGTTTTGTTGACGACGCGGGCCCGCAGAGGTCTGGACCCCTTCCGCGGGATCCGCTCGCCACCCCGAGCCGCTGTCCGACGGTCCTGGGGCCCAGCGGGGGCCCCCATCCTCCTCCTCCTCCTCCTCCTCCTCCTCCTCCTCCTCCTCCCTCCTCCTTCCCTCCTCCTCCTCCTCCTCCTCCTCCTCCTCCTCCTCCTCCCCCCCTCCTCCTCCTCCTCCTCCTCCTCCTCCTCCTCCTTCTCCTCCTTGCGCAGCATCAGGAGGTCTGGGCCTCGTGCCCACCCTGGCCAGGCCCACCCTCCCGAGGCGGCTCGTGCCGTCTCGGGCTGGTCGTGGGCAGTCGCAGGGAAACTTTGGGCCGCTCGGGGCTTCTCGAGAGCTCTCCTTCGAGCCTGTTCATCGCAGATCCTCTCGCCCCCCGCGCTTTCCGCCAGCACAGAGCACTGTCGGCCTCCTGACGAGCTCAGGCTGCCTGCCCCCCGAAGGTCCTCGTGGCGCCCGCCCTGTTGTGGGCTGCCACCTCGCCGAGGACGGGCCCGATGACCATCATTGGCTGCTACGTGGCCGCGAGCATCGGGATGAACCTCCTGAACAAGGACCTCCGGGGACCCGAACCTTCCTGCCTATCATCTTCCTCTTCCTCCTCCTCCTCCTCCTCCTCCTCCTCCTCCTCCTCCTTTTCCTCCTCCTGCTCCTCCTCCTCCTGCTCCTCCTCCTCCTCCTCTTTCCTTTTTCCACCGCAACCACATCCTCCTCCTCCTCCTCCTCCTCCTCCTCCTCCTCCTCCTCCTCCTCCTACTCCTACTCCTACTCCTCCTCCTCCTCCTCCTCCTGCAACTCCTTCTCAACCTCCTCCTCCTCTTTTCTTGTCCACCGCATCCAAACCTCCTCCTTCTCCTCCCCCTCCTCCTCCCCTCCTCCTCCTCCTCCTCCTCCTCCTCCTCCTCCTCCTCCCCATCTTCATCCTCAGCATCATCAGCAGCATCAGCAGCAGCATCATCGGCAGCAGCGGCATCATGATCATCATCATCATCATCATCAGCATCATCATCATCATCATCATCATCATCATCATCGTCATCATCAGCATCAGCATCATCATCATCATCATCAGCATCAGCATCATCATCAGAATCGTCGTCATCATCACCACCTGTCATCATCATCAGCATCATCATCAATAGCATCAGCAGCGACATCATCATTATCATTTTCAGCATCAGCATCACAAGCATCAGCCTCATCATAATCAGCATCCGAATCAGCACCATCGTCACCATCATCAGCAGCATCAGCAACAGCAGCACCAGCATCACTTATCATCATCACCATCGTCATAATCATCAACATCATCAGTATCCATATCATCGTCCGTATCAGCATCATCATCTTCATCATCAGCAGCAGCATCGTCATCATCATCATCACCATCATCAGCGTCAGCATGAACACCCCCATCCTCCTCCTCCTCCGCCTCCTCCTAAGCATCAGTATCAGCATCATCAGCAACATCATCAGCAGCAGCATCATCAGCAGCATCAGCAGTGCTATAGTCAGCGTCATAGTCAGCATCAGCATCATCAGCATCGAAATCATCATCACCACCATCATAATCCGCATCATCATCATCATCATCATCATCATCATCATCATCATCAGCAGCAGCATCATCATCACCATCGTCATCATCATCAGCAGCATCATCCTCTTCCATCCTCCTCCTCCTCCTGCTCCTCCTCCTCCTTCTCCTGCTCCGCCGTCTTCTCCTCCTCCTCCTTCTCCTTCTCCTTCTCCTCCCCCTCATCCTCATTCTCCTCCTCCTCCTCCTCCTCCTCCTCCTCCTCCTCATCATCATCATCATCAGCATCATCATCATTACCGGCATCAGCAGTATCATCAACCTTACCAGCATTATCATCATCAGCAGCAGCATCAACAGCAGCATCATCATAATCAGAATCAGACTCAGCACCATCGTCACCATCAGTATCATCAGCGGCATCAGCAGCACCATCCTCATCAGCAGCAGCAGCATCTGCATCAGCATCATCATCATCATCATCATCATCATCATCATCATCATCATCATCATTATCATCATGAGCAGCAGCATCATCATCACCATCATCCGCATCTTCATCATCACCACTACCATCCTCCTCCTCCTCCTCCGCCTGCTCCTCCGCCTACGCAGCATCATCAGCAGCATCAGCATCATCAGCAACATCATATCATCGGCAGCAGCAGCGACATCAGCAGCATCAGCATCGGCATCGTCACCGTCATAGTCATCATCAGCATCATCAGCATCGGAATCATCAGCATCATCAGCATCATCGGCATAATCAGAATCAGCATCCTCATCATCAGCAGCAGCAGCCTCACCATCATTGTCATCAGCATCGTCATCACCAGCATCAGCAACAGCAGCATCACCATCCTCTTTCAGCCTCCTCCCCTGTCCTCCTCCTCCTCCCCCTCTTCCTCCTCCTCCTCCTGCTCATCCTCCTCCTCCTCCTCCTCCTTCTCCTGCTCCGCCTTCTCCTCCTCCTCCTCCTTCTCTTCCTCCTCTTCTTCACCATCATCAGTATCATCATCATCATCATCATCATCATCATCAGCAGCAGCAGCATTAGCATCATCATCATCATTATCAGCATCATCATAATCAGCACCATCGTCAGCATCACCACCACCACCACCACCATCATCAGCATCATCATAATCGGCATCGGCATCAGCATTATATTCAGCATCATCATCTTCATCAGCAGCAGCATCGTCGACATCATCATCATCGTCATCATCGCCATCATCGTCAGCATCATCAATCTATGTATGATCATCATCAGCAGCATCATCATCATCAACAACATCATCATCAACAACACCATGATCAGCCTCCTAAGCATCATCCTCAGCAACATCATCATCAGCAGCATCATCATCAGCAGCAGCATCAGCAGCATCAGCATCGTCATCGGCATCGCCATAGTCGCCATCAGCATCAGCATCATCAGCATCGGAATCGTCATCATCAGAGTCAGAATCACCATCATCATCAGCATCACCATCAGCAGCATCGTCATCATCGTCAGCATCATCATCATCATCATCATCATCATCATCATCATCATCATCATCATCATCATCCTCGCCTTTCCTCCTCCTCCTCCTCCTCATCATCATCATCCTCCTGCTTCTCCTCCCCCTCTCCTCCTTCTCCTGCTCCACCTTCTCCTCCTCCTCTTCATCATCATCCTCATCAGCATCAGTATCATCATCATCATCATCAGCTCAGTCAGCATCATCATCAGCAGCCTCATCATCATCAGCAGCAGCATCATCATCCTTATCATTATCATTATCAGGAGCAGCATCAACATCAGCATCATCATAATCAGCATCAGAATCAGCACCATCGTCACCATCATCATCATCATCATTATCAGCAGCATCATCATCATCAGCACCAGCATCATCATGTTCCTGATCGACATCGTCATCATCAGCATCAGCATCATTATCTGTATCATCATCATCATCATCATCATCATCATCATCATCATCATCATCATCATCATCATCATCATCATCATCTTAAACACCACCACCCTCCTCCTCCTCCTTCTCCTCCTGCTCCTAAGCATCATCATCGTCAGCAGCAGCATCAACATCATCAGCAACATCATCAGCAGCAGCATCAGCATCGTCATCGTCAAAGTCACCATCAGCATCAGCCTCATCAGCATGAGCATCAGCATGAGCATCGGAATCATCATCATAATAATCAGTAGTATGATCATCATCAGCAGCATCATCAGCATCAGCATCCCCTTGCCTCCTCCTCTCCTTTTCTTCTCCTCCTCCTCCTCCTGCTCCTGGGGTCGCCCTGCCTTTTATAGGCGTCGCGACTCAGACCCCCAAGGGCCTTATCCTTATCCTTATCCTCCTGCTCCTCCTCCTACTCCTCCTCCTCCTCCTTCTCCTCCTCCTCCTCCTCCTCCTCCTCCTCCTCCCGAGCACTGCCGATCGAGCGGGCCGTTCCAGCCGCCCCAGACCTCCAGTTTCTTGAGCGGAAGATCGAGGCGGAGGTGCGTCGTCGTCGTCGGGTCGTCCCGAACAGGGCGCGTTCGGTCTCCGGGGCCAGCAGCAGCAGACGGTTTGGGACGAAAGTCTTCGGACCTGCTTGCTGCGCGAAACAATCAGGACGGGAGGTTTTTTGTTATTTTCAGCCTCCGGGGGCCCCCGTCTGGCTCAAGGACCGTCCAAGAACGGCCCAGGATGAAAGACCAGCCCTGGGGAATGGGCCGGGACTCCCAGGGACCGCGTACAGAAAAAATCAGGACGTCGCATGTCTGGGTAGGGGGAGGGGGGAAGGCTTCTTAGAGGGAGGGTGCTTCTTAGAAGGCGCGGGCCTCATCTATAGATGCAAGGCCGGCGCATTCTAAGAAGCAGCCTCCTTCGAAGAAGCCTTCCCCTCTCCCCCTACCCCCTTGTGCGCACCGCCGAGATCCAGGCCTCCCAGCTGGGGTCCGAGCAAATGGGTCGGAGGATCGCGCCGCATCGGCGATGCGACTCGACTTAGAGCCCGAGTTTCTCCACGCCGACGGCGCCGATGCATCTCCGACGTCGCCGAAGCATCGGCAATGCGCTGGCGATGCGGCGTGGTCATCAAACCCCATATACTCGGACCCCACTGGGGAGGCCTCCAGAGAGACGGGTCCCCCGGAGAGTGCTCCAGAGTTTCAGGGGCCCTTTATTTTGAAAAAGGCACGGCATTGGAAGTCTGGAGCGCCAAGTGTGAAAGAGCCCGAGCGTTCCGGGCCGAAAGCCCAGGGAGCTGACTGGGAAGCTGGATACGCCAGATGCGGCCCGCTTGAGCGAAAGCTGGACACACGCAAGGAGCGACAAAGCGGCTTCGCCTTCGAGCGCCCGAGAATTCGGCATCTCGCTCGCGGCGGAGACTGGCGGAAGGCTCGCAGAAGCCCGCGGAGACAGAGTGAGGGCGGCTTCATTGGCGGAAGCCCGGCTGGGGGCAGCAGAAGTAATGATGAGCGCCCGGGAGATCAACGCCGGCGCACCAATACAATGGTTTCCAGAGTCGGCCACACGTGGCCGCGCGTCTTTCCACCCGTATAGCCGCGTGTGTCCGGCAAGTGGCCTCCGCATGTTCTGCATGTGCATCCAGCCGAATTCGTGTCCATCGCCGAGTGCGTTCCACTACTCGCAAAGTGCCTACTCGCAAACGTCCGAACAACGCATGTCCGTTTTCGATGTAATTTATCGTAGATCCCCCGCTCGGATCCAGGCCATTTGCGAGTATTTACTTTGCGAGTAGTGGAACGCGCTCGTCTAGTCCAGCTTCCTGCTGCGTTTGCTTGCGTGCTGACCGAGGCTCGTTCGAAAGTTGTTCCTCCGTTGGCTGCGCACGCCAGAACTCGAGCCCGTGCCGAGCCAGGGTCGAACAGGCTTCTGTGCTGCCCCTGTTGCTCCAAACTTGCACTTAGGGGCTCTTACTTGCGTCGCTGGTAGGGAACAGG